ACATGAGACCCCTACAGTGGTGGCTCAAGACCAAGGGGTTCTCCCTGAGGGGAAACCCGCTTCGCATGCTCAAGGTCACGTGGCGGTTCCTACGTGCCTTAGACATGTGAAGGAAACCTTGGTTCTTATCTCAGGGCCCGGTGCTGGGAGCTCCTGGTCGCCGCGTATGCTAGTGACAGATGCATCTCTCACCGGTTGGGAGCGGTCATGAGTGGCCTCTCGGCCCGCGGCCTGTGGAGCGGCTGCCATCTCATGTAGCGCATGAGTTGACTGGTGATGCTGACTGTGTTTCTAGCTTGAGACACGTCCTCCCAGGCCTAAGAGATCGCTATGTGTTGGTGCGCACCGACAACACAGAAGTGGTCTTTTATATATGTAGGGGCAGACATCCTGTCGAGGCAGGGGCCGAGGCCCGGGGAATAGATGCCTCACCCCGAGAGACTTGGAGAGTCTTTGGTCAGGCTCAGGTGGACATGTTTGCGAGTCGACTCAGGTGATATCGCATGGTCCCCTCTGGTTCTCTCTCTGGACTCATCCAGCTCCACTGGGGCTGGATGCCATGGTACAGACGTGGCCAAGGCTTTGTCTGTACACCTTTCCCCCGACTGTTCTGCTCCCGGGAGTTCTGGAGAGAGTGCGCTGGAACGAGGTCAGTCGACTGCCAGTTGCCCGTTCTGGCCGGGCTGAGTATGGTTCTCGGACGTGATTTCTCTCCTTGACGGCGCTCCATGGGAGATTGCCGTCAGGAGAGATCTCCTCTCACAGGCGGAGGGCACACCCCCACCCGAAGTCTGGCGGCGTGGGCATTCTCGTTCCCTTAGCGCTTTGACACAGCTCGAGTTCCTGAAGGGGAACGTCTCCAGGTTACGCATGTTACCATGGTTCCCCCGAAGGGAACGAGACGCTGCGTCTCAGGGCCATACTTCCGGCATCCCTGCCAGCGCTTGCTTCACTCCTAGAAGCTGACGCCGGTTTCACCGCACGTGCTTTTATGCTCCTGGTCGCTACGTCACCCCGCCTGTGACGTCTCGCCCATCCATTGGACTGATTACACATCTGATTCAGAGCGTGGTCACGCTGGAGGCGTTCCCTTAGCGTTTCGACACAGCTCGAGTTCCCTTCGGGGAACCATGGTTACATGCGTAACCTGGAGACGTTTTTTCTGTGGCATCACTGCGGAAAAAAAATTGGAACCTTTATTTTTAGTGTGTGAACTCATGTCTGATCTCTCTTGGTCATTTTGATGCAGTCCAGACCACTTGGACTTAGTTTTATTGAAAGCAGTCCTTTGTGAATATTCATGCAAGTTTACATATGGCTTTCATTCAGTGTAGTAGTGACATATAGTGCCATTGACGGGCATATTGCTGTGATACAGATGTCACACGTCTTCTTTGTGAGCTGTTGACTGGCATTATCTTGGTGTTGGCACTGCGGGGTTGTTTTTCTGTGGCACGTCAAAGAGATTCTGGGTCGCTCGCAGCTTGTTGTCAGAATGGTCAAAATCTCATGTTTCACTTTCAGCTGACAGACTGTGTGTTGCTGAGATGTTTGGAGAGAACTGAAGGATTCAAATGAAAAATAAGGATGTGATTTTATTGTCTGTACGAGGCAGTTGCGTGCAGAGAGAAGAATTGGAGACACATGGGAACAATCATGTGCTTGGACAAAACTCTTTATGGCTAACACTAGTCTTCACAAAAATACACAATGTTTGTAATACTTAGGAGTTGAAAGCAAAGAGTGGCATTAAAATAAAACCCACAAAGCTTTTAAAAATCCCTAAATGAAATAAATAGACATCTGACAGACATTAATGCAGGTGCAACACACACAAGGAACAAACCGTAGCAATGTTAGAAATGAGACGGAAGAGTTTCACATTTTATTTTTTACATTAAATAAATACCAAAATAATCAGAAAAAATATAGTATTTTAGAAGATAGATATAATTCTGCAAATGTATAGACAATGTATTAATCTACCCTGTTGCTTTTTAAGCCATTTACATTCTCCTATAAGCACTAAAGTGCTTCAGCAATTTTGTAATCCTTCACAGTCGTGTTAGTAAATCGATGCAGACTCATGAATTATTATGCTTTCTATTGCAAAAACAACGGCAAAACAGAAAGCTCTTCTGAGTTACTTTGTTTATGCATGTATGTTTTGTAAGAACTGTTTGAATGAAGAGGCCTTTGGTAAGAAAATGCGTTTCCAATAGCCCATAGGTCAAACACTGCAGCAGAATGTGATTCAGCAAGATCTATTGCATCTCCAGCATCACAAGTCATGAATTGTTTTGATTTTTTTTGCACATTAACCCACATTACAATCAATCATCACTCTGTGAATAAAGTAAAAATCCCCCATCATAGCATAGCGACAAGTGGGAATGCCACCAGGGAGTTTAGGAAGTAAAATCCAGATAATAAATTACTAAAGGGAATATAGCTAAACTGAATTTAAAACAATAATTGTATCCGTCAAGCCGATTATGCTTTGACTTTCATGGTGCTGAAGAAAATGTCTCCTCTGGGTGAGCTTGTTAATACTTGTTTTATTTTTTTTATTTTCGAAACCTTTTGTGGTGACATATTTGTGGGCAGGAGCGAGCTGTTGTTGTGATGTTAAAAGCTCTCAAGCTGAGACAGAGACGCTGATGGTTTATGTTACCTGAATTTCAACAGTGGTGTCTGTGGCTTACGGTGCGAGTCTTTTGCTTTCACATAAATTCATAGGCAGTATTACTCTCTTCACATTGTGAAGTGCAGCAATAGTTTTCCAGAAATGTTGAACTCCTACGCTTGTTTCAAAGTAGATGGAGTGATTTCACTGGGGTGATATTTCAGTTTGAATGATATTTCTCAAATGAGCTTGACTGTAATGGGCTTTATGTGGGCTGACTTCATTATGTTACAGGAAAGTGAACGAGAGAGTGAGTGGGTGGGTATATAGGACTCCAGTCTTAGATGAGATTTGTTTTATTGATTGTATAAAAACTCATAGCCACCTAAAAGAATAGTTCACTCAAAAATGTAAATTTTCTGAAAAGTTACTTACCCTCAGGTCATCCAAGATGTAGATTAGTTTGTTTCTTCATCAGTTTGGAGAAATTTAGCATTACACCACTTGCTCACCAATGGATCCTCTGCAGTGAATGGGTGCCGTCAGAATGAGAGTCCAAACAGCTGATAAAAACATCACAATAATTCACAAATAGCCTGACTCAAAACAAATTCATCATTAACACATTTTTAACTTCAAACCATTGCTTCCAGCTAAAATATGAGTCCCCTGTTCATAATATTGCTTTCTCCAGTGAAAAGGTAATCTGATCTTAGGACCATGCAACTGTTTGAACATGGAAGAAAGGTGGTTATACATCAGCTTGGAGAGCCAGTAAAGTTGATTACATTAATAATGTATTAAAATGTTAAGTTACCTACAGTATATAGAAATATTCTTCACTGAGCCGCTGTCTGAAGTAATAATTCACACCTTTGTCAAGCATTGGCAATAACAGAACCATTTTTCAAATCACAAACCTGTGTTTTAAATAATCTTTTAAAAACTATTGGTATTGTTGTGTAAGAATTAAGGGCCAGGACATGGTGCCATTAAAATGAGAGTATTCCTACAAATATATCAGCCCAACCACAGATTCCACACCCTGTCATTTTCCAGGAATAGATGGACGGGTAGTAAAATTACAGCTTTTGAAAGGGTGGAAATTTATGCACTGTCAGTTTAGAACTGGGAGCGACTGTAAGGGTTTTATCGGTTGCGTGTGTCAGAATGATTCTTGTATTAGTAACATCGTTACTCATCGCCCTCTCTAGATGTTAAGTAGAAAGTTGGTACAACTATTTGTGTTAAGGTTAAATGCTTTTGTTTATTTGGTTATGCTGTACTTTACAGTGCATTTTGCAGTGTACTGTAATTGCATGAGTAAGTACCAAGTAATTTTAATGAACATCATGAGCTTAATATGTAAGTATTGGCTGGGACTGCTTGTAATCGCATACTTCTTATTACAACACTTGAAAGGAGAACCCACTTAACCTAGAATGCTGGCCAAATTTGACCTCATTTCAATTTTTCTTACAACAAAATCTGGAGAGAAAAAATTGTATAATATATGTAGTATGTATGTATGCATGTATATATATATAATATTTTATATGTATCTAAAGATGTATATAAAGAAACTATAATGAATAAACCTGTATAATATATATATAACACTTTAGTATAGGGACCTTTAGTATAGGGACCAACTTTAACTAGTTGTTTATTAGCATGCCTATTATTAACATTTGGCTGTTTATTAACACTTATAAAGCACATATTCTGCATGACCATGTTCTACATCCCTAATCCTACCCAATGCCTAAACTTAACAACTACCTTATTAACTGTTAATAAGCAGCAAATTATGAGTTTATTGAGGCAAAAGTCGTTGTTTAGCGAGAATTGGACCTTAAAATAAAATGTGAGTTGCTAATAGGTTTCTACACATGGACTACAACTACCACAATAATGTGAGTTTACATGCATGATAAATCCGAGTGCCGTTGTAGTTTTAATAGAATTTTGTTAGCAGGCTTTTTTAAACGTCTGTAAAGTTCACCTATGTTGTAGAACAAAACGTGATAATAATATTATCCTCAGAATTCAATCTTGATTTACTCATAAATCAACCAGTAGCTTTAAAATGCTAATTCTTTTAGAGGTTTTAAGACTTCAAACTGAACATCTCTGTATGTTCATACGAGTCTAAATGAAAAAAATCACTATTGAAAGTTTATTTCACTCACTCTATCTGTAATCCTCTGGACCGGTTCATTTGTCCGAATTGGCACAATCTCTCCAAGGGGTGGCGTTTTACACCCGCTTCTCTCCAGCGCGCTTGAAATCACCCCCTCCACCGCTCTTATCAGCAATTCAGATTGCATGCAAATGCCCTGAGAAAGGAGCGTCATTGTGAAAGGACAGCGAGTGTGCGCACGAGGGGGGTGAGCAGAGGCATTCCTCGTTCCTCTCTCTATTCTTCTCTGTCTGCCGGCTGATGCTCGCGCGTTCACTCAGCGCAGATATGAGCGCAGCTCGCAGTGAAGTTTGAAGAAGACAGAGAGCAGCGCGCGGTCGGATTATTGTTTACATCAAACTTGCTGCATAACTCGTTCGGCGTTTGCCTTGAGTGTTCCTAACTTTCTCTTTCACCCGTTTGGTTTGACCATGGGCTTTTCTTGCAGAAAAGCGTTTTATTGGCCCGTTTGGTCGTTTGCTGTTGTTTTTGTGATTTTGAGTCAGCGTTGTCATGGAAGTTGTTCAGAAAAGGAGCTGGAAACGCGAGAAGAAGAGGCGAATGTAGTTTTAACTGGGACTGTAGAGGAGATCTTGAACATGGATCCGGTGCACAACACTTATTCCTGCAAGGTAAGACTTTGCGCACCAAGACACTCTTCAAATGCATCAAAGTGAAAGTAAAAAAGGTAAATATGTACTTCGTATAAACTTATACTTTAATGGTTACTGTGCAGCTGTGTTGCAATGTATATCACCTGTTAGACATATAGACGAAAGCTACCAGCCTAATATTTGAGTTGACCTGGTCTGAAACTCGCAGCATATCATGGTAACATGTATAATGCTGTCTAAATGGGCAACTCAGTGGGTTTTGAGTCTAATATATCATAAACACCAAGTAGCTGCAACCATGCATAAAATGCATATAACTGTAAATAAAAGGGACTTGTTTAAATCTCGTCCTAATGGGTTTTTGTAACGTGTGGACATTGGTTTTGCTCAGTTGATGAAAAATGTCCACAGTCCTACTTTGATCCACCTGTAATTTGATCTTTCATACACAAGGAACCTGAACAGCCTTTGCAGTGACTTGATGTCCTTTCAAGCTCTATTAGTGCTTCGGGGTCAATTATCTGCAATTATCATGTAATCATGGGCTTACTTTGTTAGAAGTATCTGAATGCGGTCACGTATATCAGTCTTGCAGAAACGAATCACTAGGGCATAAAAAGTGTGAAAAGAAGAGCAATCTGAAATTGCAGCTCTTCCTACCATCATTTCATATAACACTGCAAAGTGTATTCGCTAAAGTCATACTAGTGAAAAATGCTTATTTTTTGCATTTTTAAAATGGACAAATATATCGCAAACACAGCAATTTGGCATCTGACCAGTTCACGAGAGTCACGTATTTGCTTAAACTTGATATGTGACCTAGGAATAGTCTAGAATCTTATCTTTCCTATTCATTTCACATCATAACTTTTTGTTTTAAATATTTTCAATGTGGTCTCATGCTTTTGGACCACCACTGAGGCATATATGAATCAGAAACGCACTGTAAGTGTAGTGCAGAGTTAGATTGCAGAGTCTTATGCAGCTGGCGGTAGGTGGCCGCTTTGGAATGTGCAAGAAAGTGACCTTGATCTGCAGAAAATTGTGTCTTTCCCCTGTTTGAAGGTCAGGGTATGGCGTTACCTAAAAGGCAAGACCATGGTGAATGGAGAGGTGCTGCTGGACGGAGGAAACAAGGTGATGATCGGCGGTTTCGGAGACCCCCATATTTGCGACAATCAGGTGGCCACCGGAGATACGCGCATTTTCTTTGTCAACCTGGCCCCTGAGTTCATGTGGCCGAACCACAAGAACGAACTGATGCTCAACTCGAGCCTGATGAGGATTACTCTCCGCAACTTGGAGGAGGTGGAGCACTGCGTTGAAGGTAAAAAAAACACTTTCCTGATTCAGCATAAAGCTGTAACTCACATCTTCTGGCCGTGTAGAGATTTGAGAGTTAGAAAGCTCCCGTGGTGGTGACGGCGGTCCTGATTGCAAAAGCAGGTGGTGTTTTCTGCTCTAACTGCATCTTTATTCTACCTAATGAAGCGGCTCGCATTTTGTGACATTACATTAACCCATTTACATTATATTAATACAGCAATCATAGCTTTCCAAATGAAACTTTTTACCAGTTTTTTTGTTCTTCTCTCAACTTTTTTGTTAGCTGGCAATGCTTATTGAATTTCTTGGGCCCCGGGGCCTTAAAAGCAAAGCATATCATGTGCACCGTCACTAGCAATCAGCTGCTCTCGAAGGAGGGTGTGTCTGTTCGCTAACTGAGCCACCTCCAGGGCCTTTGACTAACCTGAGTGAAAGTCCAAACCTCTACCTTTCCTTGAGGGAAATCATTTATAGAGTAAGAGTGGAGATACTAAAACATAACCGCATTGCTTCAGGCTATAGGGCCCTCACAAGGGCCCCTGTATCTGTATTATGATGGCAGTCACTGCTTATTTCCACCTTCTCAAAGCCAGACCATCAGAGCAAAGTTTGTCTCTGTGGGAAAGAACAGTTGAATGAATAAGGCCAGACTGATGTCCAAACTTCTGTGTCTTTTCAAAGTGCTTTTGGTTTATTAATGTAAATGTGAAATAGTGGTTGTCCTTCTACTAGAAATGGTGAGTTCCTTTTTCCATTTTGTAAATCAGCAGTGCCTTGTAGTTATGCTGGCAGCCGTACGAGCAGAGAAAATACACATTAGTCTGGAATACAACAGAGCATTCGAAGCTAACATCACTCTTATAGGCCTAATCGATTCTTTAAATCGGCACTCTAGATCCTCTGTTTGGCAAGTTGTATTGTCTAGACTTTTGAATATTGACATCAAGTCTGGTCCAGTTTTCAGCTTTTTCTGCCTGAGAATCAACCACTTTAATAGGAAGAGATAGCTTGATTGACTTTTAAAAGTTTTAAACCATGGTTTGTGGTGTTTTTATGTGTCATTTAGGGGCAAACATCTAAAGTGGCTAACATTTTTTGCAAATAACATCACTACAGTGTATTTAGATGCTGTGATCTGAATAAAAAGTAGCAAGTGTTGATTATTTTGCACACATAACTCCGAAAACATAAAATATACAGTTTTGTTTGAGAAGATTTTTGAGAAGATTCAGTTTACTTCCTGGTTAGTGTTAATGCACAATTCTGTCCCTCCATTAAAAGTTAATTACACCAAAACTTTGAGGCTTCAAAAAGCTCATAGACATAGACAACAGATTTAATTTAGGTTTTTATTCACATGGATATTGACCAGCTCACACATAGTGCACATTAAATATGGTCAATGGAAGCTCAAACTTGTTTGCTTGACGTGAGAATCAGTGATGTCTGTTCTTGCTCGACAACTGTTGAGCTACTGTTTCTAATAGAATTCGTATTTTTTGGTGAACTACACCTTCAAGTAAACCAAACTGATTAGTTCTTGGTATATGAAGCACATACCAGCTAGGGTTGGGCGATGTCTACAAAATTGGCATCGGACGATGTCTACAGTGAAACATTGTGATGGACGATGACATCGGCGAGGGCGGGGGCGAGCGGGGGGAGGGGTGTGGGGGAAGAGTTAGGGGGTACTAAATACTATAGAACCACTGATCTAAAATAGAGATTTATTATATATAGATCAGTCTATAGAACTCATTATAATCAGTGATTCTGTCTACACTGGATGCGGCACGACAGGACAAATCCCCGACACCGACAGTAAACTGTTGCCGCGCTCTATTTATGACGTGCTGACACAAATTTCAAATGATTTTCAACGGTCGCTTTGTCGCTTTAGCTGATGCGGTGCGGTGCGACACTATTAGCCATCGGATGGACGATGGCATCGTCTATCGGCCCAACCCTAATACCAGCCATATTTGTGTCCAACATGAGACTGAGACTACATGGCAGGGGACTCACAAGCCCGCATTGGTTTCTAGTACTCAATAGAATCAAGCACAGATCAGAACAATTTTCCTTCAGGGCACAAAATGTCCCTTTTCTCCTTTTTTTCCCCTTTGTTCTCTACTTTTTAGCACAAGCCACTTCTGAGGAGAGACTTTCTTTTTTGAGGCTGCTAAAATCTTAAAAGGTTTGATGAGGGGGCAGTTTAGCAGAGTACCGTATTTTGCGTTCGCACATGGAGGGCTAAGTGTAAGGCCACTGAAAATAAATGCTTCTCTGCTACTGAGAGGCCATGTGCTTCATTTAACAAATGTGATTCTTTTTATATTGTAATAGGATTGGATCTCATTTTGCACACAAGATGCTCAAGTATATGCTACAAATAGCAAACAGCTGTGCTCAGAATGGCCAACAGTTTTGTTAAACACGCAGCTTGCGAATTCTTATTCTGAGTCTATAAACAGAGACCTGTACTTCACAACGTTCAGAAACAGTGGTTCTGACCTTGCTTTTGACATGGTTAGACAAGTATACTATAAACCAGGCCTTGAATAAAAAAGTACTGCCCTGAAGGCTGAGTGACTTGGAATGGTGCCTAATGGTGTTCGTTTTGTGTTGGCTAAACTGATTTGGGAATTTGATGTTATCCATCAATTATTTTAATAAAGCATGACCTTTTAGTGAAGTTTATTTTTTTCTTTCCTTTGTCACTGCTTAGTATTAGACCTACAGCAAGAAAAGAGCGTGTGAGGTGGAAAGAACAAGATCGTACCTGCGAGCCTGTTGAGTGTATCCTCTCCTCTCTTCTCACCTCTGACAGGTGAGATAGCACTGAGAAAGGAAGAGCTTCCTAGCTGAAGTTTAGAGTACTGCCGTCAAAGCCAAAGTTTTCTTAAGGGGGGAAAAGCGCTGTTTATAATGACAAGATTGGGAGGGTGAAATGTGATAACAAGAGAACGCAACCAGAAATTCTTGATACAAGTGTAGACTGGAGTGCTTATAGGAGAGGCCTAGAAGCGTCAAGTTCTCACTTCCACCCCATTTGCTCTTTGCTGAAACAGACTACTTGGGTTGTTACGTGAAAAAGCACTTGGGTTAATGCTTTCATCTGCCAAAAATACACCGAATGCTTCTGTGGATCTTGAAATGAGATGTTTAGAAGAATGTCTGAGCTGCTGTTTTCCATACAATGAAAGGGAATTCTGTCCAAGGCTGTCAAGCAAGACTTCTAAAGAATAACGACTTAAATTTCAGTCTGTTCCTCACACAAACTATCTTGGAATACAGCGCACAAGTCAAATTGACCACTTATGATAGTTTTATGATGCTTTTTTTGTCCTTTTGGAGCTTGATGGGCTCTTTCATTGAATGGAATAGAGCTGGACGTCTTTTTAAGGGAAATAAATAGAAAACCTTACAGGTTTCGATTGACCTGAGTAAATGGTTTTATTGAGTGAACTAATCTTTTCGTTTTAAATCCTGTTGGAATTGTACGTTCAGAAGTCCAGTGGTTGAATCTGGAAATCTGCAAGCAGAGATTTTGGCATTGTTTGTTAAATCAACAAATCAAGTGTTCTCCTTTCTCTGAAGTTGGCATGTGAGAACATGCTGCTTTTCAGTGTTTCTCTGACTTTGTTTGTGTATGTGGACGCTAATTCATTAAATGCCAAACTACACAATAGTGGAAGCTTGCGTTGTACTGGAGGATAATCGTTTAAACCAAAGTGGTCCGGTTTCAAACCGTTGTGATCCTTGCATTTCTGATCTCTGAATAGAGTGAATTAATCCAGACTAACTATGAAAAAGAACAGCTGGAAAGCAAAAGAGAGTTGGATCGAAAAATATGTTATGGCTTCATGTGTTAAGCATTGCAGCAGCTTTTGAACTTTAGGAAGAAGTGATGAAACTTAAGCAAAGAGAATGAAAGCATGAAGAAGCTTGGTTTATAGTTGCAATGAGAAGTCAGATTCGTTTTGCTGAATCTGTTCATTTCAGCAAACAATGAAAATTGTGTGCTGCAATGAATGTTCTAAAATTCTTTTGAGGTGTTAAAAAGTGTTTCCAAAAGTCATTAAATGAAGCATTGTGGCTTCATATGTTGAGTTCATTACTGATATTATTACAAAAATCATTCTTATCGTTCTTGTTGTTCCCAAAATTATTGATACAGTAATTTTATAAATTTTCAATGATAAGCTCAAATAATAATCTCAAAACCAAAACCAAATCCACCCTTTACAGAGCAAATCGTTAAAAAATTGGTTCAAAAGAATGATTGATTTGTGAATAGGTTAATATTAATAAATGTATGTTAGAATCTCTTACCTACTGTCATTTTGTGTTTATTTCACATCAAAACTGGATGCTCAAACAAATCCCTCCTCATTTTGCTTCAATATATATGGTTACGTGCACTAATTTTTATAAATTGTAATTAATCCAATACAGTTTCAGATTCTGAAAGTTTATATGCTCCTTTTTTTTCTGTTGATCAGATTATTTGAGGTCTACGCCATCCCTTTCAATACAATCGAAATTTCATTTGATCAGCCGGATCATTTGAGGTGTTTACATAGAGTTTTTAGTCTGATTACTATCAGTCTGATTAGAAACGGATTATTTGGGTGCCTGTTAATGTAGCTAATGAACTGCAACATTGTCAATTTTCTTTTCTTTTTTTGGTAACTTCTCCTCCGATCTGTCCCTCTGTCTTCTGCCTGTCACGAGGGCAACATGGTTCAAGGGGCCCAGTTCAAGTTGAGCTTTAGCCTGAGGACAGAGCGTCCAGTGCTGGTGGTCTATCGTGATAATGAGTGCAGGTCATCCAGTCGAACTCTCTGGATTGAGTGTGTGTGTGTGTGGTAGGTTTAAGAATGAGAGTAGCAGGTCTTTGGACGCACTTCACTTTTATTCTGCCTGTTTGTGTAAGGAGGAGGCCTGGCGTGCCTCTGATTCCACATTGCACGAAGGTCAGCCCGCCTGCACTCAGCC